AAGCATTCAAAACTGACAGAATACAACATTGCTCCAGACAGAAGATCTACCTATATCTTATAAAGCTTAACCTGTTCTAAAATTAAAGCTACGCAGTCAAAGTCACTGTTGGAAGAAATCAAACTCACTTCTAACATGTGCAGCAAGATGAGTAAAGAGTAAACATACTTCTAGGGGACAGAATTATAAGAGTTACAAAATGTATGCCTACATTTGGATACATACTAGAAAACTTTTAAACAACACTTTTACTTTCTGAACTCTAGTTTGGAGAGCTGATTTATCTTAGAAGTTGCAGACCTAATTCTAAATGCAAGATACTAAACTACTTTCAAAGCCCTGAAGAATTACTGCAAGCTGAAAGACTTTCTTGTTTCTTTTCCAATACCAATTACACTGCTTTGTAATTTGTCTTGTATTTAGACCTTCTTGAAAGTCTACTTGCTGTATTTGAAAGAACACAGATTATAATTAAGCCAAGTTAACAGTGATTTTGTTTGGAAATTCTGGCAGCCAATTCTGCCTCCACAAACATCACCAGGACTGTATTCCACTCAGGTACTAGGAAACTGGGGTCAAGTTCTGTGGATGCCACTGCCTTGTCTGTATTCTTCACTTCTCCCCACCATTCCTCCTCATATTCATAGATCAAGTGGTGCAAAACACAAACTGATGCAGACAAAACTAGACTCCTCCTCTTTCCCCAAAAAAATTAGCTAAGAGGAAGGAGGTGTTTTCAGCACACAAACTCCTTGACAAAGAGCTGCATGCTGCACACTAGCACCAACTTAAAGGTAGGAGGAAAAGAACCCCAAATTCCACACAGCTTTGTAAGGACCATGGTGTCTAGAAGCTCATGCTGCCCCAGAACTACATGCTAAATTATAAGAAATCTTCAAGCAATCTGGTCTTATCAAACCTGAGCAAGATATTGGATGACTTCAGAAAGTCCCTTTCAAACTGAGATCCTATGATTTTAAAGATGTGCACAGTTCTCTTCCAACATATGTTTTCATCATCTATCCTGTTATCACAAAACAGCGTGAGAGGTTCAAGTTTTGTGAAAACTTGAATCAGCTACAATAGAAAGTGAAGGTTTCCCCCTGTACATCCTCTATCACTAGATTCAAAGGACTATGCTTGTTGTCTGAACAATTGCCAGTAAGTCTGTCTCCAAACTCAGTGCTGCCAAATGAGAGGCACTTCAAGAAGCTGGTAGTAGTCCGACTCAGTGCGACAGAAGAGGCAAAATCAGAAGGGTAAAATAAAACTCATGGATTGAGATAGAGACAGTTTAATAGGGAAAGCAAAAATCACACGGGCAAGCAAAGATAAACAAGGAATTCATTCACCACTTCTCAAGGACAGGCAGGTGTTCAGCCTCCTCCAGGAAAGCCAGGCTCCATCATGGTCATGGTGGCTTGGGAAGACACATGCTTTAACTCTGAACTTTCCTCCTCCTCCTCCTTCTTCCCCCAGATTTAGAGGCTGAGGATGATGTCATATGGTCTGGAATATCACTTGGGCCAGTTGGGGTCAATTGTCCCAGCTGTGTCACCTCCCAGTTTCATCTTCCCCCAGCCCACTCAGTGGTGGGATGATGTGAGAAGCCAAAAAGGCCTTGGCTCTGCCTGAGTCCTGCTCAGCAGGAACAAAAACATCTCCCTGTTATCAACACTGTTTCAAAAACAAATACAAAACATAGCCCATACTAGCTACCACGAAGAAAATTAACTCTATCCCAGCCAAAATCAGCACAAACTCTTGGGACAGTCTGTCCAGTTGAGTGCAAAAGAGCTTTAAATAAATTCTATAAAGTATCTCAAAATCATCATTGAGAATGTTCAGAATTATCCTTTCTGACTCAAAACCAATGCACTTCCTAGACCATT